CCACCCCCCACCCCCCATCCCAGGCTGACCACCAAGATCCAGCTATCAAAATATTGAAGTTCAGCAATCTAAAGCCCCCTTTGGCTCACCTAATTAACATGTCCAATCAAAATAAACACCTCATCTTAACATAGGGTTTCCCTTTTTCCCTATGGGCCACGTGTGTCTCCTCTTTATCCAGAGGCAGTCTCTGTCCCTCCAGGACAAATATCCCTCCTCCCTCTCCCTTGTTCCCTTTCCCTTCTCCCTCATCCTCTGTCTCTTATTCCCTGCTCTTTGTCCCTCTGGAGCAAATAAATCTCCTTTGTGTTAAGAACTTGGTCTTGGGGTGCCTTGGCTGATCCTTTCACTCTCCACAGTAATGAGGTGTTATTTGGAATTGTGAGCTAAAATAAACAACCTCCTTTGTGGTAGTTTGATTTGTGGTGGTTGTATTTAAATACTTGGTCCCAATTGGTGGAACTTTTCAGGAAGGATTAGGAGGTGTGGCCTTGTTGGAGGAAGTGTCACTGAAGGGTGGGCTTTAAGGTTTCAAAGACTCATGGCATTCCCAGTTAGCTCTCTCTGCCTCATGCTTATGGATGGATATACAAGCTCTCAGCTCCTGCTCCAGCACCATGCCTGCCTGCCTGCCTGCTGCCATGATCCCTGCCATGATGATCAAAACTCTAGCTCTCTGGAGCTGTGAACCTAAATGAACTTTCTTTTCTAAGTTGCCTTCGTCTAGTGTATTGTCACAGCAGTTGAAACACCTTTCTCCCTGAACTGTTTTTGTCAGGGTGTTTTATCAAAGAAACAGAACTAGGATGGTAGTCATTCTGAACCTTCCAGCTGTCCACTCAGCCCTGGGAGTGCTCCTGAGGAAGAGGCTGGAGACGGTGGCTAAATTATCACCACTGTGATTCTGGAGGTTCCTTAGGACTTCTGCCTCCACTTGCTTCCTTCCCAACCTGTGATGGCTCATTTTGACAACTTGAAAGAGTTCTAGAATCATGTCAAGACAAACCTCTGCACATGTCTGGGAGGGAGTTTCTTAAATTAGGTTAACTGAGATGGCAAGGCCCACTGTGAGTGTGGGCAGCACAATCCCCATGGGCTGGAGTCCTGAGCCCATCCATGCCTCCCCCATAGGATCCCTTCCCTAACCACCGGGAGTTGCATAGGTCTTCTTTGGCACTGGGGTCTCCATCTCACCCACTGTGGCAGCTTGGGAGGGATAATCCACTGGAGCAAATGCTCATGTACAATGTATTGGCCTCCAGTCTCCCAGGATATAATAAATCCACATGACACTGCCCTTCCGTTGACCCACAAGAGAGAAGAGTGG